CTCATCATCCGCCTATAACACCACATTTCGAACGCTTCTAACCTTTTCTTTTCCGCCGCTCCCACTGTCCATGTTTCGCACCCGTACAACGCCGTGCTCCAAACATACACCTTTAACAACCTTTTTCGAATTTCTAAATTAACCGTTCGCGAGCATAGAGGTCACTTTTTTTTATTAAAGGCGACACGACCCTGCACTATCCTCTGCTTTATATCCCTACTACTCCTTCCGTCCTGACTTAGCTGACTTCCTAGGTATCTAAAATCAGCCACTTCTTATAATTTTTCGTCTCCTATCTTTATATTCGCTCTTTCCCTACTTTTTTTTCCCTTGAATACCAGTGTTTTTGTTTTACTTTTATTTATTTTCATACAGTACTGATCTGTCACTACCGCATCCATTTTATTTAAAACTCCTCCTTGCTAGATGCTAATACTGCTATAGCATCTGCAAATCTAAGCATACTAATCTTTTTCCCCTGTATATCTATCCCTACAGTTGTACTGTCTTTAGTGATGTTGATCGCGTCTTCGATGTATGGATTAAAAAGTAGCGGTGACAGTGTGCATCCCTTAATGACTGTAGCCATTATCTTTGTCAGTATCTTTAATTGTACAAAGTTTCGAGGTTTATATCGACTACAATTCGTACGTTAAATTTCGCTTTTCTAATACAGAACTAAATTTGCTGAAAACGGCTCAGATTTTAATTATTAATTACCTCACAGATACCTAACTACTGGGTCAATGGATAGTGTCCCTTATTATAGTATATGTAGGTACCTACCCCTTTAAATTACGCCAACCGCCTGCCGCGATGGTATTTACTAAAACCTAGTTTGTAATAGTAATTTATAAAACATGACGCTGCTGCCTACATCCTCTGTAATAACCTAACAGCATCATTCGTTACTAATAAATAATTAAGTGAGTATGTACGGCTAGCAGCCGCTACTAATAGTGGATCTTTTGACATATAGCTTACACAAATGTAAACACTGTTTATCATAGCATGGAAGAGAAAAAGTTCTCACCAAATTTTCGGGCCACGTGTTCTACATAAGCTCTGTTACGCAATGTTGTAATAACGAGACAAAAATGTAAATTATTACTATTATTGTATTGTGATTTCCTAAATTGAAAGTCAGAAATATACACCGAGTGTATAAGCTTGTTAAAATTGTTTTATACTTTAAAACCCTCATTTTATTATGCCTATGACAGTTGAAGTTCACGTTATCTAACCTCACAAATTTGACAGTTAGTATATATCGCTATTCTAAAAACATTGACAACTTGCTGTCATAGTATCATCATTCTAAAAGCATCGACAACTTCCTGACGTAATGATAACACATTTACATGTCCTAGCAAGGATTTGAAAGAATTAAAAATAAAGTAATGCAGCATTGAAAACATTGTTTTGAAAAATTCTTACTTACATGAATTTTACGTTGTGGGTCAATTTATGGCGTACACCACAATGTAATAATTTTGTAAGTAACCCCGACACTCTATCTAGCATTGTCAATATAAACTCTAGAAACTGCAACGTACTGTCGTCGTTTTTATAAATTCTGCGATACAAATCTTACGTTGTGGATGTAATAATTTAAGAAGGTTTTGTGTTGCAGATGAATTTAGAAGAGTACAACACATTATCAATTCTGTAAAAGCTTTAACACGAATATTGCATTGTGTGTATGAATTCGAGGAACCGCAACGCATTATAGTCAGTTTTCAAAGTACTAAGATGCAAATTTTGCGTTGTGTACGAATTCGGAACACCACAACACACTGTAATTATTATTTCAGAAAGGAAACTTGAAACGATAGTTGTGCTTTAAGTCAACTCATATTTACGTTGTGTCCGTGTATGAAA